GGCAATTCGAGGTTGAAGAGGGAGTGTATTGTCTAAAATTTTTGTCAGTAGTCATCAAATGAGACACAGGTGAGTATATAAAGCCCACCTCTGTGACCTGAAATATGACGGAACAGCTGCAGAATGTACATTTAACTTTGACGGTCCATGCTCAGCCCTTCAGAACCCATGACCAGTAGTTGACGGTTCAATCAGACACATGCAGAAGTGTATGAGGTGTGTATCAATATGCAGAAGAAACAATATTGTCACACTGTGGAGTGCTAACTGTGCTGTCTAAAAAGGTGAATAATTAATTTTCCTAGGACTATCAGTTTTTCCATAGCTGGCTCCTAAGACTCCAGAAGAACACTGAGATTTGAGGAGTATATTCAGCTGCAGTCTAAATCACCTCCACTGCATAGTCTGGATGTTGACATTTACATTCAGAGCCAAGGGATGACAAATCAACCCCACCGGTGTTCCTCAAAGACTGTTCGGTGCAACGCATCTACATAAAATCCAATTTTATATATATATATATATATATATATATACACATACATATATATATATACACGTGTGTGTGAAAGGTATATTTATTAAGATGGAATTAACTTATTGCTATTTATTTCAATCCATTTTATGAAAGAAATTGTTGTTTTTTTCTTATTTATTTAAAAAGCTTTGTTTGTCCTGGATGGTGCCAAAGTGGAGCATTTTCTCAAGCGAAGTCTAAAAAGGTGATCCAGAACTGCTAAACACTCACCCACACATCCTAATAATGCTTATTCGCTTCACTTAGATTCCAGGGTTTTTCAATTTATGAGTCCAAAAGATCATCATTAGCTATAAAGTTAAGGGAGGGTAGGTAGAGACACAGACGAGGGGACCAATAGAAGATTTTCGATTGAAATTGATCTGTTTTTTTTTTATATAGCATTTTCAGAGACGGCAGAGTAGATTATTATTATTATTTTTTTTTATTTCATTTGTTTTTATATTTCACCTCATTTTCCCCAGTGTGACTATGCTAAGACAGGGGGGACTGTGCTCTCCTCACAGCACCTGGGTGCAGACTCCTAATCGATCTATCACATCATTATACTGTATGTTTACAAAGAGGCAAATGACTCTTTGCTGCTGTTTGTTTTCAAGGCAATTTTTTTTTAAATGAATGATGCAGAATATATTTACTCCAAACAGGAGCCATCACATCGTTTAATTGAGGTCTCAACTCAACATGAGAGTAGTGGTCTCTCTGAGGATCTGTAGGCGCCTTTGAGGATCAATCCTTTGAGTCACAGAATACAGAAGCTGCTAGAATGCCTGCCTATCAGCGTGCGCTACCCGAAACCTTACCCTGGCCTTGTACCAAGCCTGAGCAAAGGCTTTGCAGCAGTTACTGTCCCAATAGGCTTTAAAGTTCAGAGGACTGCCCTTGTTTCTGCCTTGACTCTGACAGACAGGTCTTACTCCGTGAAAGGGGATTTGAAAGTGATCCTCTAACATGAGTCTTAACCAAATATCCCCGTTGGCAAAGGCACTTTGGTGAAGGCAGTTTAAGGAAGATCTTGCTACTGTAGCGGCTGTCATCGCCAACCGATGTAAATATCTCAAGACTAGACGTTAGGACAAAAGAACGTGTTTTGGAATTACAGAGGGAAGACAATGGGTAGGCACAGCAGGCTTTCTTTATGTAATAACTTGTTTATTCCCCAACTATACAAAAAATATACATCCAGGAAAATAGGAGGCTCTTTAAAAGCATGTTGCTTTGCCCACCTAGACCCTGCGAGGGGATTTGTTTTAAGTGGAACAAAGAGAGCCCTAGGGTAGGTCTTGATGTTAGCGCGGATTAGGGACCAAGGTATCTGTGCCCACCCAGCAGCGAGCAAGCCAGCTTTACTGTGTAATCCCCCTGCACACACACAACAAATCCACTGCATCAAGCTGAATTTAGGCCAAACACTACACAGAGGGAAAAAAAAAAACTTGAGCTTTTATCACAGCATACCTCATCAATTGGATCATCTTCCCCTTTAACAACTGATTCGTGCGTAAGCCTTTCCAGATGAGAATGTGGAGTAAGAAGACTTCCCAGAAGCCTCAGAGCGCCTCGCTACTCTTCGATACCATACATTAATGTGTGTAAACTGTGACCACTAGGCCTCTCATCTTCATGACTGTTTGCTCAACTGTTCCTTGGCAATTAGTTCTCTGGTTTTGATGCAAAGGTAAACAAGCAGAAAAAGGTAAAGATGCGAAGGAATCCTCAGTGTTAATAATTGAAGAAAGGATTGGATTTGTTTTCACTCCTTATTGTGTTAACACCTCTGTGAAAAAAACCTGTCATGTCGTCTCACTTGTTTCGTGTTACAGAACCAAAGCTCTCGGCAAACTTTATTTTTGTACAATATTCATTTTATAACTTTTTACAGAATTAAACTTGTTTCTATCAAATGAGCACGTCTCCTGGTATTTTGCCATGTACAACAACGCACCGGTACCAGATGGTGCTAATTTGCCTGGGATATGTTTACACAAGCATCATGTAAAATTGAGGATGAAAATTTGGGTTAAATTGTGGGGATGGTTTGAGAGATGGCCTTCTCTACAGTGTGGCGTCCCCTCCTGTTCTGCATTCCTGAACACTAGCCCAGGGTCGTACAGTAAACAAAAGCTTGCTGTAAAGCGCCACTGAGCTGTAAATCAAGGCACTCAAGAATGTTTCCACTGTGCAAAGAAGATATGTAAATGCTGATGAGAAAATGGCAGCAGCACAGACAGTCATTAAGCAGCGGTTCAAGGTGTGTATACTAAGTATAACTGAATACTACAAGAGCTGCTTTCAAGTCTGTTTTTGGGGCCTAGTCCTAGACCTAGTCAGTCTCAGTCTTCTATTGAGCATCAAAATTACAGCTTTTAAGCTTTTTTTTCTCCAAAGCTTGTTAAATGTGTTTTTCACCACAGAACAATGCATCAAATGACCATGTGTACGTAAAAAGGGCCCCTTGTAGTAATGACAAACCAAATCTACAGCTCTCCTCAGCTCTACGGAGCGTTTCGGTATCTTTCAGTTCATTGTTTTGGTTCCACGGACCACGACTTTGATGTTTTGGTTCAGTTTCTCTACTCTCCTCAGCATCATTTCCAGACGTAGGCAGCTGTTTTCACCCTTAAAAAACACACTGCACGCTACCTGCCCAGTACCAACAGGCAGTCAGACAGAGTTAGTGAGCTGGTGAATATAGTGGAGCATTTAGCAGCCTAAGAGAGGGATAGTTTCCTCAGGGGTTGGTGACTAAAAGCAGGGCTAAAAGTGAATATTGGGTTTAAATTTACCAGGTGGCCAGAAATAGGAATCCAAATGAATGATAATGTTGCTCCATAACAGCTGTATGTGTAAATATGCAACAGTTTACTGACAAGATGTGTTACACCCAACGGCCATAACATGCAGCCCCATACCAATAAATTGTGATGCACTGTGTGTTCTGACACCTTCCTATCAGAACCAGCATTAAGTTTTTCAGCAGTTTGAGCTACAGTAGCTTGTCTGTTAAATCGGACCACACGGGCCAGCCTTCACTCCCCACGTGCATCACTAAGCCTTGGCCACTCATGACCCTTTCACTGGTACACTGTTTTTCCTTCCTGCGACCACTTTTGATAGTTACTGTCCTCTGCAGACAGGGAACACCCCACAAGTTTTGGAGATGCTCTGACCCAGTCATTGAGCTATCACAATTTGGCTCTTGTCAAAGACGCTCAGATCCTCACGCTGCCAATTTTTCCTGCTTCTAACACATCAACTTAAAGACAAAATGTTCACTTACTGCCTAATATCTCACCCAGTCAGTGGTTATAATGTTAGGGCTGATCAGTGTATGTAACAGCTGATCACAGCCACAGATGGAAAAAGGAAGTTAGAAAGTGTTGAAAGACAAATTAACTAATTGGTTTTGGTATTTTCATGGGATTTGTTGAAAACATTGTAGAATATCACCAGCCATATCCTTTAAGTCTGACTGAGTTCACGTCTCAAGTGCACAAATCTGGGTCCCACCCATTTAATCGAGTTTAATGTGCTTTTATCCTTCATGATGTCTGGGGTTGACAGTAAATGATGGTTGCTTGTTAACAAACTTAAAGGTCGGGTCCCCCAAATCACATTCATTGTGACCAGTTTTTTAAACGTTTTAATGCTTTCAGCAACACGAAAACTAGCATAATGAGATATATAACACTATTAGTACTGTAAGTTACAGTACCAGTACTTTACCATTTGTTTCTTAAAATGCCTGTATCTGAAGGCTATAGTTTTAGCTCTACGCACAGCTTCTCCTTTTCACGTGCAAACTGGTTCATCACATGGCGGTGGATTGATCGTCCCGCTCGACTCAAACAGCAGTCACCCCTCACCTCCCGCTGCTGGCTAAGAACTCTTCACAAGAAGAGCTTGACGTCAGCCTCTCCCCCTCAAAGCCAATCTCCGCTCAGCTCTCCACTTTATTTGCTCTTAAAAACATCATTCATTGTTTTAGTCCTTCCATATTTCTTGTGTTGGTATTTCTTTGTCTCTTATTCAATTTTATGGCCACAGGATGCTTGCCAGGACAATGATACATTCAATTTTCTGCTTGTAACTTTGGTTGGCTAGAAATTGTAAGTCGCTGAGTAGAAACACCAGCTAAATGTCTTTACGATATAAAGAAGCTGGGAATAAAAAAACAGAACATTTATTAGCAAAACCTGTGTGTCACTGTGCTAGTAACAGTTTAAATTTAGACAGCAGAATGAACCAGGTGACTCAATTTCTCATTACACACTAGCTGTACAAGATTAGAGACATTAGTTTGCTGCTATAGCAGAGATTTCCAGAGATGGATAAAGAACACAAACATGGGTTTCATTAAAACTGTATGTTGTGGTTTTTCTGTCAGCTGAAATATTTTTAGACACTGTACAGGTCATTCAAGGCATTCAAAGACAGACACTGTTATAGGGTGGCTATGCAGTACAGTTATTTCCAGATTACTGTTTATTTTTGCAAAGACAGTGCAACAAACCAAACCTTTGAAGCCAGATTATTTTGAATTAGAATTATATTTTTATCATATAATTTTTTTCTTTATTAACATTAGAAAAGAAGCTTGTAAAAACTTATATTTGGCTTAAGAATTCCTTTGATCAGCTGGTCACTTCATTTGAATAAGATCGCTATTTGATAAGAGAATACAAATTACTTTATTTAGGATTTGAGGTGAAATACAGTGTGTTGAAAAATATCTAAATTAGCAGATGGTCACATCATCACATCCAACTGAACCCTTAAAAAAAAAAAGAATAGGAATAGAACTGGTTGCAATTTTTTGTACTTACTTACTTTTGTACACCATTTTCTTCTTATAAACTAGCAAACTGTTCTTCATAGCTGATGAACAGAACCAGACCACAAAATCTGGAGCCGATTTATGAGGCATTAGCAGATTCTGGCGATGTGGGTGGAGAGGACAATAGAAATGATGAAAATAAGGTCTATATAATCAAAACAGACATAAAAAGCCAAGTTCTTCCTGTGGTCTATGAATTGCAATGAGAGGAACATAAACCTGTATAAAATTATATTATGCTTGCGCAGTGAAAATGTCTTCACATTTACAACACAGAAGCATGCACATAAATACATATGCGCTTAAAAAAACATTACAGGAGGGAGGACAGCGGCTGTTCAATTTAATTGATGCCCCTTCGCACAGTTTCTGACAGTAAGTCAGTGTTCTGGGATTGATCCTGAGACCTTGTGGTGCTGTATATCCAACCCACAAGCCCACCCTGTCAGCCATCCTATATAAAATGAGCTGCTGTTGAAGCCCCTCAGATCTTGCGTTTCTTCCACTCTGGTTCCTTGTCAGCCTCCTCATCCTCATCTGATTCCTCTGCAAACACCGGGTCTGGCTGGGTCCTAAAGAGGTAATGATTTAACAGGGTTTTTTATTTAAAGATAACTTCAGAGCAAAGTAATGAACAGCAAAATAAAGATAATAACCAGATGACGGAGCTGTGAAGACATGAAGGCTTTAAGAAGTGTAATATTAGGATTTTAGTGCCTGGGACATTTTTTTTCTTCTTTACAGGGCAGCTGAGGCTTAAAGAAGTTCAGGCTGTAGATGTTATTGTTACATGATGCAAAAGATCAGACCAAACCTAACCCTGGCTTTACAGGACTGCTCCTCAGCAGAATTAACGCAATGTTTAATGTAACTCCCAGAGGAACAAAGAGTCTGCTGCTTGACACCAGAATGAAATAGTGTACTTCATTAGATTTGTAATATATATATCCCTAGTATATTATCTTTAACTATAGATAGTATGTGAAACAGACTGTTTGACTTGGCTTACAGCTTTGGGTCACGATTACATAGCTGTCTGAGTCTGATAGTGATCTAAAGCTGTCCATTATGCTCCTTCCTGCAGTGTGAAGTGAGTACCTGTAAAACTGTACAACTCTTTAAACATTTATGTGTCACACCAGTAGGAAGTAACCCAAGTACCATCACAATAGCATACATAGCACTCCCAGTACTCGTCTTACACTGTCTGCTAACGAGAGAAGATGAAGGGACGAACAGTAAGATACAGGATGTGTAAATGATTCATATTTTTACACAAGATATGAGGTTTTCTTACACTGTGTATGCCGGGGCAACCCAATAGGGGTTATCTGAAGCCTCCTTGGCGTGACGTAGGATGGCCTCTCGTGGGTTACTGTCATCTGTTTTATCTAAAGCGATGTTCTTCACAATGAATGAAGACAGAGTGCCACCATGAGCCGCCACTCTCCCTCCACGACCTGTCAACACACAATGACTGGATTATGTACAGAAAATGATCAAACCACTTTAATGTTGGATGACAGTTAGATTTTTAATTAGATTAGATTTCTTTATTTAAAAACTGTGTAACCTGTAGAAGGAACTTCAATTATAGCCACTATTTGCAGAACTTGAAATTTTGTTAGTAGTATCACAATGGCAGATATCCAAATACAGGATCCAAGATGAACTCCCAGCATAATTTTGTAAAAAGGAGCAGCTTACTACTATTTGGTGCTTTCTTACACAATGTCTGTGTATGTTTTTGTCGTTAGAGATGTGGAGAAACATTGCTGCTGTCTGTGTTTTTGCGAGAGGTGGCGACTGAAAAAAAAACAACCTAGGAGCCCCAAGATCCTGTTCAGATTCAGTTTACCTTCCATTGACAGGTGAGCCAAAAAAGTACATTTTGGACCCTGGATAAATACAGGAAAGTTCAAATATCCAAATCTGGCTCCTACCAAACTGACCTGGCAGTCTATTACTGGCTAGTCTTTGGGGTCATCCTCTGTTACCCACTATAATCTACTACAGACAGCGACATCACAGACAGCAGATGTACATTTACAGTATGTATGGTGGTTTAACCAATGAACTAGCTAACCTAGTGGCTAAAGTATGGATGTTATGTTTGAAAAATCCCACTCAGCTAGAAAGCAAATAAGCATAGTTCTCAAAATTGTTGAACTATGTATGTATATAACTATTAAGTACACAGCTGAAATCCACAAAAATGTTTTTGTTTATCACATTACATCATACTGTATTATATATTTTATAAAAATGTCACCAATAGGTAGTGTGACCATTGACGAGTTGGAAATATCTTAACTTTTATGCGTGTCTAAAAAAAGACATAGAAAACCACGCAGCGCAAGACAGACACAGGAAAACAATGATTATGCGTTTCCAGCAATGTGTCTCCGTGTGACCGGCCCCTTACTCTTGATCATAGTTGGATGGGCAAAAAGTTAATGCTACACTTTCTACACTATTTAATTTTAATTAGTGGTCTATTATCACATTATGAGTTATTTTATTACTTACTATTGCATTCTTGTTCTATAAAGTATAAAAAGCTATGCCTGCTTCTTTGCTGTCAGTTACCATACCATCTGCGGCCGGTTGGCTGTTTTCGATGCAGTTTATTGTACGGTTTTGGGGGGGGGGAGAGAGAGAGAGAACGACGAGAGAGGCACGAGAGAGAGAGGAGAGAAGAGACGAGAGATGAGATCGACGACGCGAGACCGACCGAGAGAGAGAGAGAGGACGATGAGAGAGTAGTCCTCCTTTTCC